AGGTGGTGGGCCTCTGGAGGTAGCTGGGTTTAATGAGATCATGAACGCAGGGTCCCGTGATACTCTCAGTGTCCTTATAGGAAGGGGAACACACACCAGAGCCTCTTCTCTCTGCCACGAGAGGACACTGAGCCAGGAGGGGGCGCTCACCAGAACCCGACCATGCCAACACCTTGATCTTGGGATTTCCATCCTCCAGAAGAGTGAGAAATCAATGTGTGTTCGTTAAGGCACCCCCTGTGGTATTTTGCTAAGCAGCTCGAACTAAGGCATGCCCTGACATATTTATGAGCTACAAGTAATTCAGCAGGGATGGGTTCCTCAACTTCCAAGGAACTGTCTCCCAGCAGCACCAGTGCATATGCTGATGGAGAAATCTCTGACATCTGAGAGAGGAGGCTTCAGCCATCAAAAAACCAGCATTGAAGACCAGCTGGCTCACAACCCTGCTTTCTCTCCCATACTAAACTACTGCCCAGGCCACATTTCAAAGGCAAGCCAATTGCTACAATCTCTATTTCCTCAGCCCTGAGTCAAAACCAATAAAAAGACTCTTAAAAGCAATCAAAACCACATCACTTCCTCTCTTCCTCTATTGGCCACTAGATGGAGCTGCGCGTTACACCAAAAAGACATGGGAGGCGAAGTTGATTCTCTCCAAGCGTCCTGTAAGTACTACAATCGTTCAGATTCACAGCTGGTGATAACAAGTTACAGAAGCCCAAGGTCCTGTGAGGGTAGGAATGGAGAATAAACCATTTGCAGAACATTTATTAAATACCTACTTGTGCTAGTCTCTGATTTTAGAAAAATAATGGGTGCATCTGCCTTTGGGAGCTCCAAGTTTGGAGGAGGAAACACATAACACACAAAGTGCCCAACATTTCTTGAGCATCCCAGACTTGGCTAGATGCTTTTCATGTTCTCTAAGGCCCAAAAGTTAAGAACTTATTAAAGTTCATTTGGCAGAACCGGCATTAAATCTCAAATCTTTTTCCTCTTAAAATGGTGCTCTCCTCTATACAACCCAGCACTTCTCAAACACTTACCATGCAAAGCAGAAGGGGCACGCAGAAGGTGGGGTGTGAACCAAGGCGAGCACAAACACAGGAGCCGGCACTGACTCTGGAGCCCAGGAAGGTACCACAGAGGGGACTATTTTTGTAGATCCGTCAGACAGGAGTGAGATGAAAGGAATTCCAGGGAGAAAGTACCTTGTCCTAAGGCACAAAGCTTTGCAAATGCAGGCAACAGCCTTTGGTAATGAATGGCAGGTAGCCTAGAGCAGCGGGGAGTGTGGGATGTGTGAGAAGGGACAGAGCCAGGGCTAAGGCAGGGAGGGAATCTGAGAAAAAGACCTTCAAGAGTCTCTCATGTTAAGAAGTTGAGATTTGTTCCCACAGGCAAGAGGATGCCATCGAAAGTTCCTGGAGAAATTTCTGATGTTAAACTTACGTGGTCATTTTTTTTTTTCCAGGAAGGGATATATATTCATAACTCAGTACTTCCTCTAAAAAGAAAAAATAATCTTTCCAAACATATGGATGCTAAATCTGTCCCTTTAATTTTATTCTACACCATATGGCACTCTGAAATTTTAGAAGATAAGTAGATGTATTGGCTTCAGTAAGAGCCATCTTCACCTGTTATTTCACTTTCTTTGCCAGTAAGTACAGGAAAAGCCCAATTTATCAATCTAATAGAAGTGATAAGGTCAGCTAAAAACTTGTAAAGTACTTAGACATGCCTGATACATACTTAGTGCGTTAGAAGGGTTTAATAAACACCTACAAACATACACACTTTATAAGACAAAAGGTGTTCGACACTGGGTTCTTAACTGAACTCCATGGAAATAAAGTAATTTCAGGTTCACCTCAGGGAGAAGTGAATGATACACAGGTGCACGTGCATACACACCCAGTAGAGAACTGGAGACATCAAAAAACAGCTGCTGTACCAAGCTGAGGTACACAGAGTCATTTTAAAAACAAAGGTCATGGGTTTTCAGAAACCCGAATTTACTTCCATATCAGGCATTCTAAATAAATTTGCTGTGAGCTTTTATAAGAACTTCCCTCCAAGAACCTCCATACAGATTTATGTATCACTCAAACATCAACGCTGTTCCCACTAAGTCAAACAAACATCTGGAAGAAAACTTTAATCATTTCAGGGTTTCTGAGCAGCTAGAAGTTTCAGGTTGCTAAGACATCTAGACCCTGGATGAAACTTTATGCCTGTATCAGATATTTGCCATTCATCAGATACAACCTCAAAGAGAAATACTTAATTGTAGAAGGTTAAAAGCCGTACTAATTGTAATGTCTTGAGGCTTAGGGAAGTTAAATGATGTGCCTAACAGCACAGATCTTGGAGGCAGCAGAGCAGGGTTTAAGCTCAGTTAGTCTGATGTCTCAGTCTGTTTTCTTTCTACTCCACCAATTGCCTCAGCAATATGACTGATTCAGCAGATTCTGAAGCACAGAATAAAAGACTAGTCCTTCAATATCTAAACCTTGTCACGTTTATAAGAGGAAAATGAAATGAGTACAGCGGACATTAAACATGCCCTGAACTCAGCATGTAAAAGCAAACTGATAATTAAGCCTCAAAGCAGAAACTTGCACGCATTTCCAGAATGCAGTCACACTTAACTAGTGATCTATAATGTTACAAGTAGATAGAGCATTCAATGCCATCTGGGCTTACTGCTCCTCATTCTGAAGGTAAATTTCTATGTTAAATGGAATGGGAGGCCGGGGGGTGTGGGGAGAGGGAATCAGACCAGAGTTCTCCGATTTCAATAATTGGATGGTTTGCTTACATTTCTACACTTTTATCTACACTTACTTAAAGTGTTATCGCACTTGCTAAAAATGTAAGCTTCCCAATGCAGGAACTGAAATGTAAACATCTGTGCTTTTTAGCCTGGGTAAAGGTTCTGGTTTGATAAATAAAAAACTAGGGATTTCTCACTGTGATGTCACTAGGCTTCAGTTTAGAGTGTTTCAATGTCTCCACCTTGTGGAAGCTGTGAATACTACATCAAAATAAATACATTGACCTTGAGGATTAAAGGACTGACTCTACACCAAGCCTTTATTATAGGATACACACACACACACACAAAAATCTCAGAACCCAAAAATATTTTGGTAGCAGTGTCCAGTATAAATTGATAATATAGTCTTGAGGCCATGCTGGATACCAAAAGTTTTCTAAATAATAATAAAAGATTAAATTACATTCAATTTTAGTAATATTTACTGTTTTCTTATGTATGGAAAACTAGAAATACAAAATGATACTCTAAGTTAACCAGCTCATTTTCAGCTCCCTAAACTTTCCCAGTCATTCTGAATAGCAGAAATTTGTTACATTGTCAGGGTTTGGTGGCTCCTGTCTTCCATGATTTCACTACCCAAAATGGTTCTAAAAATGACAGGCAGAAAGTCAAAGCACCTCTTCCGCTAAGCTTTTAATTAAATGAAAGAACACTTCTAATCAGGTAGATCTAAGCAAAAGTAAATTAATTTTTAAATAAACTTCAATAGTTGAGCTATTTCAATTCAGCAGTAGTGGGCAAGATGATGTAACATGGTGGTGAAGGAACAGGATCTGGAGCTACTAACCCTAGGCTGCCTCTTAATCACTGTGGGGCCCTCAGTAAGCTATTTAACCTTCCCGAGCCTCAGTTTACTCCTCCATAAAATGGGGATAATGATATCACCTACCTCAAAGGATTGCTGTGAGGATAGAACAAGGTAATATATATAGATAAGGCACCTAGCAGACTGCCTGGCACATAGTGAGTGACTTAGGTATTATTGAAATTATGAAAACATTGACTCATCCATGGGGTTCTTGATCTCTATGTTCATGGAAATAAGTGGCATTATTATACCAAATTTCTTTACCTGTCATTTGACTGCTAGAATGGTAGAGGAGGAAAAGATCTTGGAGAGCTTCTTACAAGTCAGATTAATGGAGGAAGAAGTCTCAGGCAAGTGAAATAAGTAGATGCACCTTCAGGTTACACAGCGATCCGGTAGTGGAGCTAAAAACCGGAAGCCAAGCCTCCTGCTACACATGGTCCCGGCATGGCTTAGACAACATCTCATCATTCCCCTTAATGCCACATGAGAGCCTGGGAGGCTGGCTTTGTTCCTTCGCCCATCAATCTGTGCATTCATTAACTCAGCAGTATTTATAAGCCTCTATATATACAACACATTGGGGGATTCAGCAGTGAACAAGCCAGAGTGTTCCCGCTTTGTGGTGCAATTACCGCAAGCAGGTGGGGGCAGGGAGGCAAAATATAAACACATAATCAGGATCATTTCAGTAGTGATAAGCTTTCAAAGTTGCTTAAGACAGGGTGACAGAGAGGACTAGGGGCATGGGGCAGGCCACATAAACTACTTCAAGTTGAATGGTCGAGAAGGGCCCCTCCAGAGAGATGTCAGCAGAGCAGCACAGAGGAACCAGATACCAAAGATCTGGGGAACAGAATCCATAGAGAGAAACAGAGAGTGCACGGGTCATGAGGCAGCAGAGAGCTTGATGAGACCAAGGATCAGAACAAACAGCTGTAGCGGAGCAGCTAGGTGGGTGGAGAGCGAGGAGAGAAAGAGGCAGGTAAAGGCCTGATCCAGTAGGACCAGGTAGCTCATGATAAGGAGCCCAGATTCCAATCTAGGTGTGAGGTTGGGTTTAAAGGACTGAAACAATATGGTTTGTTGTCAAGTGTCACTCTGGCTGCCGAGGGAGCCTTGCTAGAACTGCCCAGAGAGTTACTGGTCACACCTGGTTGGAGGCCCAGGTCTTGCAAGCCTCAGGCCAGAAGGTTCCTCTCCGCACCACACAGCCTTTGACATACACAGCAGAAAATGAAGCAGGAAGTTTGATCTCCTCCTGAAATCAAGCCATGCCAAAGAGAAACTGGGTTCTAAGTCTCCTCCTGTTCCGGGAGAAGAGGGGAACCTCAGGGAACTCACCCGCTCGTGCTGTCATCTGTCCGCATGTTCTTGCTCAGCACGTCCCCATCGCTCATGTAGCCAGGCGCGTCCACACTGATGCCCTCCAGTTCCATCTCACCTCCGGCCTTGTCTGAGACGTCCACGTGGCAAATGCTGCTCCCCCTGGAGGCCAGTTGCCTCCTCAGAGGGGCCGAGTACACATAGCGACCCGACTCGGTGTTGATGAACCGGCTGGCGTTGGCTCGGGGCGGGTACCCGTTGCCCATAGAGGGGGCATCTCCTGCTTGGAGCCGAGGGCTGGACTGGCCGAGTCTCCAGGACAGAGGAGTGGGCCTGCCTGTCAAGCTGAGGATGCTGCGCCCGCTAATCTCCGTGGTGACATTGGTATCAAATGTGGTTTCCAATGTGCTAGAAACAAAACCGGCCTTGGGTTAGACCCTAGTGTGCCAAGGATCCTCTGCAGTTTATATGTTCTTTAATTTTTAGAATTATGAAATATTTCCCATATACAAAATAGTCTCAGAAACAGGCACCAATGTCTCACCTGGTGTACTTCCTCTGTTGAGCACAGATGAAGCAGAACAGCTATGTAGCATTCTGAACAGCTCAGCAGAGACTTTCCCCCAAAAAAACATGGTACAAGATACCCACCACCATTAAGTGATCTTAACTATTGGAATCTTCTTCCCAACCCAGGAAACAGAAAATGTTGAGATGATGAGTATAGAGCACTGAGGTACCTACCCGCTCATTCACCCAGGACGCTACTTCACAGTCTCCTTTCCTAAGGCAGGATGGACCCATCCACTCGGACTTCCTAATGTCTCATTTCATGAGCTCAGCTCCCTCTAGACTGAGCAGGTGGGGAGAGGCCTTTTCTAATGGGGTAAAGTCCATTTCCCCCATATTTTTGCTTATCCCACATAAAATGGCAAATAAACTCTAAGGGCAAAAGGCAACAAGAGTGATAATTGCCAGGGCTTGAGATCCATAATAAATCAAATAACATGGACCCCAGTCTGCCAGGAGCCCATCCCTGGCTATCAGAAAGACTTTTGCAGTCCACTGTCTTTTGGGCCCTGCAGGTGCTCATGGCACAGGCAAGGCAGGGGACCTCTGCAGAAGGGCACTGGGCTCTCCTAACGGCAGAAGAAAGCATCGAAGCTTTCTTTCTTGTCATCATTACCCTCCCAGTGCAAGCCAAGAAAACTATCAAACACTTGTAACCCACTCTGGGTCACTTCCAGTAATCTTGGTGGAAAGAGGGATGCTCCATACAGCCTCACAGGGTCCAGCAGTTGGCTTCATGACATCAAATATCTCAAGTTTGAGGGGGGCACCATATCAGAATTCCCAAGTCTACTCTCCTCTGGAAGAACCAATCTGGGGGCTCAACTGCCTTTGTTTCCACCCCGTCCCAGAAGTGGCCTCACTCTCCTCATACTGGGGACCCCTCAGGTTCGGGCCCTGGTCTTACATAAGACAGAACCCACACTGCTTACCTCCCATCTGCCAAGACTGCTGGCAATGGGGAAGGAAGCCCTGCAGTCTCCTTCCAATATTCATCAGAGACTGAAATTGGGAAAGCAAAGGAGACTCCTTAGGAGTTCACTGGGATCACTAGGACTTTGTGTTATCAAAGCCAAACACAAACCATAAAATGTGGTTCTGCCAAAGCACGAAGGGTGTCCTAGGATTGCATCGTCTTTAACTTCTTGCTCAACAATGAAAACAACCTGGTAAATGGTTTCAATATAATCTTAGATTTCATCCAACTAAATCATAGTTTAAACATGATCAGAACTTTTTATAAATATTCCTTACATATTTCATGCACGTGCATGACTAATATTATAGAGTGTTGCATATCAGAAGACCTGGTAGGAATTCAAGTTATTTGCTTTATCACACAGGTCAAATATAGTTCACCTGCTCATTTTTAAATGGAGCTGGTCTGCAGTACTGTCTGTCAAACAGATTTATCAGCCTTCTGCTTTGGGGAGGAATCTGTCTATACTAATTTTTGGTTCTTTTTTTTTTTTACATGCTATATGGCATTCTTTGTGAATTCCACAACATTTGTTGATCAAGACAATTTATTCCATTATTGACCAAATCTCTTTGTTAGCGGCATGAACAAACACAGGGGAAGTTGTGTGAAACTCAAGCCACCAGCCAGTTCAGTAAAGTGATTTACCTGTGTGTGACCTGAGTTCCCCGTAAACTGGACATGGTCTCCTCCAAATTCTGCCGCAGATCAGCGATGTTCTTCACTGTCCGCAGCCGCCGAGCCTCAGGATCTTCCCCTGGAAAGATGAGGGTTAAGGCTATTTAGTTCTCTGATAGATCATGAGCTGCATGGGATCAGTGATCATGTCCATGGCCATAACCATGTTCCCTGCTCAGGGCCTGGCTCACCATGGGTGCTTAAGGATTTGAGAATAAATCAATGAATGAATGGATGCCCAAATGAAGTTATTAAATCTAAGGAGAGAAATCTTTCTTCTCCTTACAGGTCCCTCCTGAAATAGGGGAAGTCTAGCTTGTGGGAGAAGCAAAGTACCTATTCTGAGGTAGAAACACCTTTACATACTGTCTGCAATAAATACTTACACTAGTTAGGTCTGACCACTTCCCAGGAACCATTTTATGCCCACGCAAACGTGGGTGAGGCATTTTGCTTTCTCACCCAGTGGTGATATACGCTGCTGTCCACCAGCCCGACTTCATAAATGGAAATTATAGTGGCTAAAAGATCTGTGCTTATAAATCACAAATATCTCTAAAGAGAGAGGTTTGTTTTGTTCTGTTAGATTTATTATGTTACCTCAAATTCTGGTTCCTTTACTCATTGGCTGTGTGACCATGGGGAAGGTGCTGAGCCTCTCTATCCTTCGGATTCAACAGCCCTAAGTAGGAATAGTAAGGGTACTGACCACAATCGACGCTCTTTAAAAGCCTATGACTGTTCCAAGTGTTGAGCAACAAATTTAAAGAAATCTCCACATAGAACACAGCACACATGGGCAACAGTGGTGGAATTTACATTAGACACTAAGTAGGACTTCCTGCAGTTTCCATCAATAGGGCAGTAAGCAGCAAAGAAATGTCATAGATTTCACTTTCTTTCCACGACAGATAATGACTTCCCTAAGTTGTTCTCTGCTTGCTGGTACCTGGAGGCTGGGGGATGGATTAAATGATAAGTGTGTGATTTAATGGAGGAAATTTGCTATAGCAAGCACTTGTCCTTGAAAATGCAAAGTGTTTTCGATTTTCTTCCCAATTTGAAGCAGGAGAAATTTGAAAGGCATGTCTCTCTTAAGGGATAATTGGTCAAACTTTCATTTCCCACCCATTTCAATCCCACTAATTCTTTAAAATACACACACATACATACATATATGTTTTTAAATGAAGGCAGTGACGAATACCTACTTTACTTTCCCCTGATGGCCTTGGAGGAATGTAATTGCATCTATCTCCTCAGCCATCAACTAAATATCTTTTACTCCCAGTATGCCCACATTTTATCTATGTAAAATGGCCAAATAGGTACTGATTCTTTGGACAGCTCTAGGCCCTCTAAAGAATATTTACTAGGAAACTAAGTGTAGTCACAAGTTTTTTAATTACTTCATTAATTAACCACACACAAAAAGCAGAAATATAGTTATTTCTCCAGGTCTCTACAAATCACATTTTTGCCTGTCTTATCTCTTTCAGAAACTCAAAGATCTTTGAGATGAGGTGGTATCTTACCTTTCCTTTTGGTGATCCTTACACAAATCTACAGACGACCAAGAAATATCCGTTCTCCTAAACATGTTTGGTCAGTGTTGGGTTGAAGAAGAAAATGCATACTTCACATCCCAACACATAAAGGTCTGAATCGTGGCCCTGCTGCTTCTTAGCCCCTTGACCTTGGACGAGTCATTTATCTTTCCCGAATGTCATCCATAACATGGGGATAAAATCCCTCCCTCAGAGGGTTAGTGGGAAGATCCAATGAGGTGACAGATACATGCCTGGCACAAAATAAGGGATCCTTGAATTTGAGCTTCTGTTTCCTTCTGGGGGTCTCACTGCCCCTCTCAGGGCCCCACACATACCAGATCCCAAGAACAACATAGAAACACAAGCCAGTGATCCACTCGCCTCGCTCAGGCGATCACGCTCTGAATTGCCAATTCTGTCTCCTTGGACAGTGACCTGAAGGTAAGATTTCCCCTCCGACTTAACAGCCAACAAAATAGAAACACAACAGTGCTCCGCTGGAAACAGAGGGCCCTTTCTACTCACATAGATCTTAAAAACTGAGTAAGCTATTCCAGGACCGCCTGCAGCTCTCTTGCATTTGCCAAGGTCAGCTTCCCTCAAGCCACTGGCCATGATGGAGAACATACCACATTCTGAACAAACACACCTTAGTTTGGAGGATATCAGGGTATAAAAAAAAAACAAGGAAGGAAGCCGGAATTTTTACTTAGAAGAGGCGGGCTTAACAGACATGCTCCTAAATGGAAAAGAATGGAAATTGTGGGCTTTAGAAGGCTGGATCATACTGAGTGATTAGAAATGTAAGAACAAAGAACTCTATTACCAGTTAAGGCCAACAAAAAATAACCTTCTTGTCCCAAGAAATATTCAAGCAGAGACTGAAAGATGATTTGTCAGTAAATGATAGAAAGGATTTAATTCAAGGACCAGATAATAATCATGTGTTTCCTACTAACTACAATCCAAGATGCATGTCTCAACTGTTATGCTATGTAAATAACAAAGCACCATGGGAAAATCCACCTACTGTATAAGAAAGGGGAAGAACTAAGCCACTGATCAAATGGTCTCAAAAATGTCCATTTCTAAATACACCCACTACTCGTTATCACTGCAAGAGATTGGCTGTCGATAAGTTAACTCAACCTTGTGCTACTATTCATTGTCTCCATAGGATAATTTGCAGTATAGTCACACATGTAATTTCTGTTGCTTGAATGTAAAGACAAGTCACTGTGATTAAGACATTTCCATTAGCAACCGACACCATATGAATGAATTAACACCAAAGAGTGCCTGATCAGACATGACTGTTCCCCAAACCAACTGACAGCATCTCAGGTTTTCTGAGCTCTTACTTGGTTTTACAGTTCTGATACAGAGGAGCCACGGGGGAGGAAAAGAAAAATTACTGAAAGATCACAGGCTGTAATCTGTCACTTTGAAATTTAAGTGTTATGTGGAATGTTCTCTGGCTGCTGCTTTTGTTATTCAAATGTGAATTTTGCTGAGCCTCAATGTCTGACACGAATCCATACTACTCCATGGGAGACGTATATGATACATGCCAAGCTCTGAAGCACTGGCCTGGCTCTTTTGATGTGTGCACATAAGAACATGATCTGAAATGTGTGTGGAAACTTAAGCAGTCGTCTGAACTCCACACCCTTCTCCTCATAGCTGGCCTCTTCCTGTGCTATCCATGTCCTCATATGCAAGGGAGCTGTAAGCCTTAAAGAGAAGGAAGCATAGAATCAGTCCCAAATGTGTGGCCTGAACCACTATAAGATGGATCACTTACAAATGGCTTGAAAACTCTCTGCCCCATCTCAGTGCCCAGCCAGCAGAACCAGAAGGAAATAGTTAAATTGCTCAGATCCTCTGAAATTAATACTCAGACCTAATAGTAAGATAGTTATGATTCAATGATATGAGCCACAGACCAACTCCATGGCTGTAATGTAGTTATTAAAATGGTGTGATGAAGGACATTTAGTCTAATAAATGGATTTTAAACATGAATTCAAATTTTAACCCAACTCTGGAAGTGATAAAGATATGAGAAGTACTACGTCTGCTGTTAAATATGTGGTTTACGACTCACTTCCCTGATAAGAAGTTGCTGGATTGTAGGGCACAGAGTTGGGACCAGGGAAAAGAAATAGTGGAGGTGGTAAACTGGAACGTACTACAGGAGGGATTCTGACTCAGATGTGAACTTTTCTAATTTAAGAGTGTAATAATATTAACATTAATAAATCAATGTCTATTATTAACTGTGACAACTGTGGGTTTTATGTTTTTATATAATATGCCCCTTTAATCATCATTGTCTAGGTTATACTTAAATAAAATATAGATTTTTTTGGGGGGGGGTTGTATTTGGTCAAATCAACATGCTCTAATCTTTTCAGTTAATGGAGGATACTAATATACATCTTTAATTAGTACTTCCATCTAGGAAAGAATAAAAGTCAGTATTTTAGAGTTCCAGCTCTTGTTGGAAATCAACTTCATCTGAAAAGTAAATAAGGAGATTCAAAGTGTCAGAGCAGCCCAGATCCCCTGCATGAATGAACTGGAACATACCTTAAAACAGGATTTGCCAAGAGCAAGAGACTTATTTACAATTGTGGGGAGGAGGGAGTAGGTTGTATGAGAAAGATGACAGGGAGGAGAAAGAAAGGAGGAGGAAAATAATAAGGAAAGAAAGTTTGTTTAGCTCATCAATCAAGGTAACAGTTAAGCAACTTCAAATCAAGCTGGGTTCATGCCCTTCCAGCAGGTGGTTATACGGGAGGCTACATCACCAACAGACCATTTCTAGGGCTCCATACTCACCAGTGAGTTCTTCCAGAGCAGGCTGTCCACTCTTGGTGTAGTGGTTGGGCTCCATGCTCACACTCGCTGAGCTGGACTCGGCAGTAACATTCCCTTCAGTGTCTGTCTGGGACCTTCACATGCAAACCAAAGCAGACACACTTGTCACAAGCGGTAATTCTTACTTCTGGGCCACTGTGGTCCAACCGCAGCACCCACCATCACCTCCTACAGCAAGAAGCTTTCGAACAGAGCAGACCAGCAGACTGACACTAAATAATTCATTAGCACATGTGGAGCAATGTCCTAGAAAGAGAGAGCCACCGAACTGTAAAAGATGAAATATTCATCACCCAAACAGAGGGTCTGCAATCCCTCACCGGGGAATGCTTTTCTGAGTCCCCATCAGGGAGCGAGGTCTACTCAGAAAAATGCTGCAGCACCCTGGGTGGTTTGGATCATTTAACCCACGCCAAAGAACGGCTTCTAAGTAACCAGCACCACCAGCAAGCCAAGCATAAAGATGACTCCATTGACAGCTTCCAGGGCCCCTTCCACCACCCCCCAAATCTCCTGACATGGCTCTCTCTGCAAGGTGACTGCAAAACCAGTCAGAAGTGGGTGCCAAGCAGGTGTGTTTGCCCTCTAGCTCTCTGATTCAGAGCTCAGATCTTCTAAGATGAAAGGTCTCATTGATCATTATTTCAACACTTGACTGAAAGCTGTACTTCCCCAAACATTTTCCATGCCCTTATTTGTCAAGCAGATCGAGGCAATAGCTTCATGCAATGTGTGCTTGCCGTACTACCTCTGCTGATGTAGGCATGGCATGCAAATGTGTAATTACACTCAGATGCACAACCCTGGGTGTACCATTATTAATTCATTAGCATCCAGAGCTAATTCAACAGATTTCACTCTCTACAAAGAAGATGTTTGCCAAGAATGTGAATTGTCTTAAATGTGGGGGCTCTTAAGGGACAAACCTTGAGTCATCCATCTGTTCTTCCCTACTGTGCCTTCCTACCAAAGGCATCAATTTCCAATTCTTAAGATCTCTACCTTTAAAGGATTTCCATACTCCCAGTGCTTCTTCCCATCCCTGGCCATAGTCCAAGCTCACATCGTCTCTGCCCAGGCCCCATGAGCCCTGTGTAAATAAGTATGCTGCCTCCAGCCTAGAGACTGCAAATGGCAGTCTGGTGTAGGAACCAGCCCACATATTTATCCTTATTGGTCTGCACAGTATTTTAAGGCTCTTGAATTAATCTTGACTTTTAAAAATTGGGAGATTTCACAAGAAAAATCTGAATTTCTGCCTTTTCCCTGTGTCTCCTATCTTTTACTATCAGTAAAAACAAGAAAGTCCAACTTGACTGAGCTCGTTCTTACAGGGTGCCACCTGCCAGTGCCAAGTGGTAGCTGTTTCCTCTAGAAAGGCGTGGAGCTCCCTCTGCCACAGTCCCCTCCTTTCTGAGTTACTCATTTGCATTACTTCGTGGGTCCCCATCAGGCATTTGAGTCCAGGACTTCTTATTCTTGACTTCCTGAGACGGGTCCACTCCCCCCACCACCCCCACCGAGCCTCGTGATACTGATGTGATCATATCACCTGCTGAGGAAAAGCCTCTAGTGGTTTCCTGCTGCCCAGAGCGAGGTCTGAAATCCTTATAGTGGCAGAAGGTGCCCTACAGCAAGGGATTCTTCCCTCCTCCATTCCCAGCCCCACCTCCTGTCACTTCAACTCTTTACACACAGCCCTGCCCTGTGCTCCACCTACATGGGGCTTCTCTCCATTCCCAGATCTTCTCATGCCCTTAACGGTTTAGTCTCTGTAGTTATTGAGACCTCTGCCCAAAGGCTCTACTCTTTCTTCCTTAGTTTGCTCCTCAACTACCTTTAAGATGCAACTCCTATGTCATCGTGGCCTGGAAGCCTCCCAGGACTCTTTGAGGGATGATCGCGGATCATGTGTTTCAACGGCATTCTTCCATATTCCCCTGATACCTATTTATTGCAATGGGATCTGATTATTATTTCCTCAGCTAGACTGAGAGCTCTCTGAAGGCAAAGACTGGCTCTTTTGATGTGTTCACGTAAGATCATGATCGGTTAGAATGCATGTGCTGAGCAGGCACTTGGGCAGGGGTGCTGAATGGATAATTGAGACATTTTTAAGTCTAGAAAGATGCTGGGTACTAGAAGGAACATTATAGCATTGGAGTGACCAGTTAGCTGGCTGAAGGTCTGGAGTCTATAACTGGATAGCCATGCACATTTGATAAGTCACTTCACCTCTTTGAGCTTCAAGGCCCTCATCAGTACGGGGCAGGGCACGGGGAGGTACCAAAACCCACCTCACTGGTGGTTACAAAACCACATGTGATATGGCACAAAAGCACTCATTAAAGCATAAAGTGATTAAGGTGTCCAGTATTACTTCTGAATTAATAAATACAATTCCTTCTGAGTGATTTTAAAACATGACTTAGCTTCCTTTTATTCCTTGGTAACATCACTAACATGGAAAGGGTCTGCGAAGAGCATCATAGTTATAAATAGCCATGAACTTGCAAGAGAATCTTCCAGCACAACCATTAGCATTTAAACCATTTCTTAAAATCCTCTAATCTAGTCTAATTTCCTCCCTTTATAGATGGAGATAATGAGGCTCAAGAGATGCAGTGATTTAGATAGTCAAGACTATTTCATGGCTAAGAAGTTAATCTCTCTAGTTAGACTTGGGTTTAAACACTAGCTCTTCTCACAATTGGCTCTGTGACTTATAGACCGAGTTATTTAATTGCTCTAGGCCTCAGTTTGCTCATCTATAGAATGGGGATCCAAAAAAAAAAGGTAGCTAGCTCATGGAGTTGTGGGAATGATTAGATGACCTGAGGCATGCAAAGCTCTCAGCTGGGGGTCTGCACAGACTTAGTGCGACTCAATAGTTGTTCCAGCAGCCAAGTCCTAGGATCACACAGTGAGGGGCAAGCTAGTAAAAGACAAAGCGCAGGTGTCCTGACTCCTATCCCAGGGATCTTTCCAGGCTCTTCACTGTCTCACCTAAAGAGGAAAGGCACCTCAGAGGGGCCAGAAGGACATCACACAGGGTGAGCATAATATTAGAACGCAGCTTGGCAGACACACATGATATTTTCTCCTTCCTCCCACTTGACAAGCATTTGCTCTTTATCAAGAGTTTTTCCTCTCATAGCAAAGCTTAAAATTAAAAAAAAAACAAAAGGATTAAAATATTTTACAATATTTCAAATGATTATAGTCCCCCAAAAAGGAGGGAGATTGATGGTGATAAAAAAAAACTGCCATATACTTTCATTTTGAAAATGCAAATCCAGAATCTATGAACAGTAGCTTGAATATGCATTATCTCAAGACTATTAATGTTACTCGAATGATAAAAATTTCATGGGGAGCAATTCAGTTGCCTCCATGGTTCAGAGAACAATTGTATTAAAAGCTGTGCATGCAGGCACGTGCTGAATCATTATCTCAGCTTTGGCACTCTTCTCAGGACTGCTAGCTGAGCTGATGACTTGATTTAATAAAAAGATGACTGGCTCCCAATTAAAAAGTTTGGGCATGAGCCTTGCTGAAGGGGAGGCTGAACAGAAGAAAAGGGATTAGGAGAAGCCTAACATTCCCTCACTGGCTGGACCTGGCTGGCTTTCCTCTGCAATGGCCCAAGACAGTCTTTCCACCAGTTATTCTTTTCTTGTGCCAGTACCAAATTGTCTTGATTACTGTGGCCCTGTAGTAGAGCTTGAAGTTGGGGAGTGAGATCCCCCCCACTTTATTCTTCCTTCTCAGGATTGCTTTAGCTATTCGGGGTCTTTGGTGTTTCCATATGAATTTTTGAACTATTTGTTCCAGTTCATTGAAGCATGCTGTTGGTAGTTTGATAGGGATTGCATCGAATCTGTATACTGCTTTTTTTCCACCAGTTATTGGCAAGAATGGTAGGAGGCCTTCAAAAAATCAACTGAGGCAGGGACAGACAGAGTTTCTATTTCTTAGGAGAACTACATAAACATAGGACACTGCAAGTACGGGCATGAGTCTATGCATACGAACAAGGATGCGCATACGTGTACATATGGGTGCTTTCGTTTTATACCGGAATGTGTGTTTTGCCTTTACTTGTGATTGCCAATGTGTTTGTATATTATAGCTGTTATGAGTGTGTGTATACAGTTGCATAAGGGCCGTACTTAAGGTAGAAGCTTTAAAATAAGCGCCTAGCATATTAGCACGTAGAGGTATTAGTTATCATTCACTGTGCAGTGTGGCCAAAGGCACTACAAGCCCCAAACACAGGACCAGGTGAGCAAAGCTCGGAGCCACCTGTAAGAGCAGGGTGAGGGGAGCTTCCGTCTGTCTGGAGAGAAGTCATCCATGGGTACCAGGTATTACCCAGAGCCAGGGTCCTCAGTGTCCCAAAGGTGTGTGGGGCAGGCTGAGCAACCACAGACTTCCACAGGCCAGAAGCACACAGAGCAAGTAGCACCTGCCTCCATAATGTGCCCTATGGTCCTAGGGACATGCCAGCAGCAACACAAGACCGAGGGACAGATAATAGACAGAAGGACAGTCAGGAGCAAACACCCAGGCTTCTCTCTGCAGTACAGCCTGGGTCCTTTTGTACTTCCAGAACTGGTTCCTTCTCCTGAGGAGGGACTACCCTTTGACCTTTTCCTGCTCGACCCTCAAAAAAGTGCCCCCACACAATAGAGACTGAAAAAATAATATGTGTGATGTGGTTAAGAAACTGTGAGGATCTAGTAGTTCAAGATAATACCTCTGTGAGAAGTCTCAGAGATTCAGCAAGATGGTTTTTGTGTTTGTCATTTTGAAAAATACATTCAGGATGTGTTAGGACTGATGTTGGAGGCTGTCAAGTGATCCCCAAACCCCCTCCCACGCCTGCTCACCCTGCTGCTGCTGACATGTCTCTGGGTCCCCATGTGCCTGGTGAACACCTGCTCATCTTGAGACCAGCTCAAATATACCTCCTCTCTCTAGTTTTCTCTGGCCCTTGCCTAAGCCATGCTGTGCTCATTGTTCCCTCAACCACACTGTGTGTGCTTCCCTGAGGAGCTTACCCAGGGTACCCTAGTCATTTGCTTAATGTTCCCAGAGGGCAGGCCTGATTCCTGCCCTCAGAGACCTGGAATCCACCAGAAAGCCATTTTTGTGCAATGGCCCAGGAAGGGCAGGTGCCTGGCCGCTCCTACCTGTACAGGAAAGGCGCGACTGTCGCAGTGTTGGGGTGGCTGTATTGCTGCTGGGGCTGAGGTAGCTGAACGCTGACAGTATTGCTTCCTGTGGTCTGGGTAGTCCCGACAGACCCACTGACAGTCTGGCTGCTGATGCTGTGGTTCAGGGTGGTCCCTCCTGGGCCCTTTCCTTCTGAAGACGCCAGGCTGGAGGAGGAACTGGAGTGTCTGCCGTCCAGCTGGGGCTTCTGCTGGGGGAGCCCCGAGCTCGGCTTCCCACCCCGGCTCCGCTCCCCCTCCTTGGAAGGGGCAGGGGCACTTGGGGATTTCCCGGGCATACTCTTCATTCCTGGTTTTGGTATCCCACTGTGGGGAGGGGCCACAGCCTCCTTCTTGGCACTGTTGAGCTTCCCCCCTTTGGGGATGAAGCTGGCAATCTTGGAGGACTTTTTTGGTATTTCAGTCACCACTGCCCCACTGGGGTCTTCTTTCGGCCCCTCTTTGAGGTCCGGCCTCTCTGTCACAGAGGCCCGCTTGGAGAGGTCCTTGCTTTTCTCTTTTTCCTTCTCCCGCTGTTGTTTCTCCTTCTCCTTCTCGTTGCCTTTCGGGGAACTCTTCTTGTTGGTGAGCGCCCTGCTGAAGGTTCTCTGGGCGATGCCCTTGAGGGCAATCTTAGGGCTGCTGGAAGCAGGGCCCGCCGTGCACGGTGAGGGACCGGGGGCCTCCATCTCCTCGCTCTCTTCAAAGCTGGGCAGGATCTCTAGCCGCTCACAGCTTGTGTCCCGTGACCCCGGGCCCTCACCTGCCTTGGAACCCCCTTTACTGTTGAAAAGTTTTAGCTTTTCCAGCATGGACTTCTGGTTGTTGGCGGCTGGCTTCATGGCTTCGGCCGTGGGCCTGGGGACCTCAGGCACGGACTGCTTGACCACGAGCAGGCCTGACGTGGCACTGTGCTTCACGCTGACTGACTTGCTGCGCCAGGGCTTGGGGGCAGCGCCGGGCTGGGGGATGGCCGAGGAGGCGCCGCTATTAGCAGGGGTGGAGCTGCTGACATTCTCCAAAGTGGCAGGTGCATTTTCACTCATTCCGGGGTGGGAGGAGGCTGGGCTTGCCAATGGCTCTGCAGAGATCGGGGAGAGAAGGAAATCTGAATTACCTGTGGATCTGTGCTCAAGACGAGGCAGGGTCAGCCACATTTACACAGCCAACCACTCCCAACCCAAGTGCCCTACAGCTCTTTTACCTGCTTCATGCTTTACCTGTGGTTAAATTTTAAATCCTACCGACTTGCTCTTGCTCTCCATCACACACAGCTCACACCCCCTTGCCCCGGGACCATTTGTGTACACTGTGCGAATGCCTGCTGATCTCAACATCACATGCGCAAAGCACAGTGAAGCACACAAATTTATATAAAAGCAAAACCCCACACTACCACTGTGGTAGTGTAGGAAAGATGCAGGAAATATCTACCGTTTTGAATTATTCAACCCACAGCCCTGTCTCCCAGTTATGCAAAATGATAGAGAATTATCCAACTTTAAAAAAGCAATGTAGCAGAGACATTAAAACAGGACCTCCTTTCCTACCCACCCACCCCCCAAAAAAAAGAAAAGAAAAAGAAGTGAAACCAAGCATAATCTTTACAGAAGAGTAACTGCCCACAGAAGTTGTTAAGTGCTATCAAAGCATGTAAGTTCTTCCTATGCTGGCACTTTTAAAGATTTCCAAACATGATTCAGGATGAATTTAAAAGAGACTTTTTAGCTTAAGAGTATAAACTATGCACATGGCTTCACTGTAGGCAAGAAAACATACGGGTTATCTGAAAGTCAAGGCTTCCCCCTTGGCATTCAGGGAGTAGTGGCCTAGCCGGCCTTTTTTTTTCTCTCTCAGAAAAGCCACAAAATATTTCCAAACTAGACCTGGAATTATTCTGCGAAGGGTGGGTTCTGAACCGGAGTTCTGCATGCACCAAGATGGCCCGTATCACAGAATCGTGAACTGCGGTGCCCCTTGTTCAGGCAGTACTAGACGACACAGCTCTACCTCCCACTTATGGGCAGCTGTCATACAGAACATGGCGGGGAAGACATTGTGGCTGAGCCCAGGCCCACACCCATCTACAACCCATGCCCACCGGTGCCCAGGACAGACGGGATGTGACACTGCAGCCCCCAAAGCACACATCGAGTCTGCAGAGTCCCAGTGACATGACTTACCTAGCAGAAGCCACTTTCTCCAGCAACGATTCCCTAGGAAAAATTCTCCAACTGGAGAGGCTGCCCTTCCAATTGTCACAAGTGTTTTCGGTTAAACTGCTCATGTTTCTAATTAACTTTTGTCATCCGCAACTGCTCCAGTGCCCAGAAGCCTGGCGGGATTAACGGCTGCTTCTTCTGCCCTTTTTTTTTTTTTAATACCTAGGTTCCGTTGCCTTCTCGCAACAGAGTAAACTGTATATAGAGCGGCTTTTTATGATTTAAAAGTCAACGGCCGCCAAAGCCTGTGTGGGACATGAGCGCCGAGCCTGGAGAGCTCCGAACGGCTTCCCTTCCCTCTCTTTTGGCGGCTTGGGGAAGCCACAGCTCCAGGGTGATCCAAAGCAGACCTCCCAATGTTTTAAAACACATACATCTTCCTGACTTACTGGGGATTTGGGTTTGGAGGGGGGCTGCAGCACAATCCTCCCTAACAAAACTCACAGGGCGTTACTGGATCTGTTCCTGGGGAGAGCTGGGGACTGGCTTGGAAACAAGCTGGTGGAACTCACCCACACTGCAGGCCTCTCCAGGGGTCTCCACAGGCCTGACACTGCTTATGGGGGGGCCTCCTGGGGGCTAGGGACTGCAGCGCCACACACACCGTGAAGATGGGATTACTGCCCCCATTTTATGGGGGAGGATACTGAGGCAAGGGCTAATGATGGGTCCTAAATCACCCAGCTGGACATATCTGGGATTTGAACCCAGGTCTCCTGACACAGTGCTCTTAGAACTACAACACAGCTACTTTCACTGATGAACAGTACATTTAAACAACAGCCCTTAAATTATGAAAGCACTTCTCAGGCATCACTTTCTCTATTTAGATATGTTCATGACATCCACAGTAGGGTAATAAGCCAGAACAGCCATTGGAGAGGAGGCAGCCTGTATACCATGGAGGCTGGCTCTCTGGAGGAAACACTAGCGACCCTCCTGGTGAGTCCATTTCTCTTAGGACAGTTGTCTTTCTCTGTCCCTGGGCTCAGATCTGGGGCCGAAGGAGTTACTCATTTGCTTATTCAGTATATTCATTCATATCAAAATTCACTCATTCAATGAGCACTTAGCATATGACATTGTTCTAGTAACTGGAATACATCATGCAAAACAAAAATCCCTGCCTCCATGGATTTTACATTCTAGTAGAAAGGAACAAATGATAATTAATGTCATTAATAAATTTTATCATTTGTTAGGAAATAAGTTCTAAGGAAGAGGAGGTCTTTGGGAGCAAGCTGCAACAATGTTTTTACAGGAACTACAATATAACATTCAGAGGTACCTTCCTCTTTTCTAAAGAAGTGTTCGGCATATTCTCCCCTGAGCCTAAGGACATGGATCAAGGTGACTTCTCTGCTTCCACATTCTTGGAACTCCTATAAAGCTTGAAATGGTTTTGACAAGAAATGTCCCTAGCATGTCCATGTACTTTTAATCCTTACCCTCCCAGTCAGAAATTAACAACTAACTAGGTAACAAGTGACCCTGGCTTAAACAGACATCCAGTTTGTCTAAGTGAAATATGCAGACTAACTGAAGATAACATGTCTCCTTCCGATGAAAGGTGCCAAGTGTTGGGAAAAGGCTCACAAATTCAGGCATGACAGGTACTCACACTGTCACCCCTCAGGCTGTCCCAAAAGGGCTCCTAGAGAGAAACTACTACTAGTCTTTTAAACCCCAGCTCAAATGCCTTCTCCTCCACGAGGCTGAGGCCCTCAAGCTAAACGCACTGCCTGGTTCGCATCACATGCTATTTTTCCTTACTGTGTTTTCCTAGCACCTGGTCCATATCTCCCCATAAAATGTTTTGGGAGGGCCACCTACTTTCACCAGGCACTGGGAATACAGCCTTGAATAAAATATAACTGACCCTCTAGGAACTCACTGCCCAAAGGTCCAAAGAGGCAACAGACCTCAAAACAGCCCTGAGACAATGTGAAGGAGTGCAAAGGGCTTCACAAAGCACCGTGAGACCCAAGGATTGGGACCTACGATTCTCCCATTTGGGAAACTTTCACAGAGGAGGTGACCCTTGCATTATCATGCCACGTTTCTGCTCTGGGTTGGTTATGACTTCCTGGTCTGTGACTTCCGTTGTGGTAGACACCCTCCCTGATTTACCTTGATATGCCAAAGCCTGCTGGAGCATAGGAAATACTCAGTGCCTGGCTTTTGAATTGTTGGCTGGTAGTTTTTAATTTTGCAAGTCATATTAAGGCAACAGAAACACAAGATTTGTGATTAGTCATTTAACTAATAAAAGTTATTAAAACTTTTCAGCCTAAGCATAGGAAAAAACCAGTACTAGGACTCAGAGTTTCAGAATTTGTACTTGGAAAGTCTGGGTCCCCCCGGTTATGGAATCATGGGGACATTTCAAGGCTACTCATTACAGCTATAAAAGGTAGCACTTGGAAATGATTCTGAATTTGGTTTCCAGAACAGACATTTCCTGAGTAGGGCTATAGAACACGGAGGCACCTGATGACCAACTGATCAATGCTCTGTGCTTGTGTCATGGCCAGAAGTCCCATTAATAGTGAAGGGGGCTCCAGGTCATGAGTGGTCGTGTCCAGGTTCACATGACACATTTCTATCATTCCTAGGGTAGCATACCAGTGACCCTGGCTCAAGTGGCTGTTTGAGACCTGTTCTCTTTCTTGGGACTACAGCCATTTCCCATGCTGGAGTTCTATGATTCCTAGAATGAGACTTCCCTTAGCAGGCTTCTGAAATAGATAAGTGCAGAAGTGTGGGTATAGGCCAAGCCACAAACTTTGTCATCAACCAACGGTGTCATCCCAGATAGGCCATTTTGCCAATCTGGGGCCTCAGTCATCCCTTTTATGAGAAAGAGGAGGAGCTATTTCTCTAGCATCTTTTCAGCTCTGTTTCCACTCAAATCTCAGTGAATCTCTGAGAGTCCCTCTGAGCCCAGGCCTCAGCCAATCCTGTCCCATGGGGTCCCAAGAAGGCAGCCCTCACTCACCAGGATCTACAACTATTCTGTGCTGTGACTACAGGTGTTTCTGCATCTTTAAATATTCCCCCTCTGCAGTTCTCTTAAGATGTTTACTAATAAATGGAGGAGAAAACTGGTTGGGTCAAGGTATAGTCAACCTTGAATCAGGTGCTTGTGAATTAGAAAGGCTAGTATCTATGAAAAGAACATGGGGGAAGGAAGGTAGGATGAATTCTTTAAAAATTAAGAGGATTCCTCTCCTTAATAACTAACAGCTCTTGTTTCTTCACTCATGTGTATGAACTTTTGTTAGAGCAAGGGCATCTAAGAGGGTGAAAGCATAAGAGAATGTTCTCAACATCAGCATTTCTCCAACAATGGTATGTGGACTACAGAAGTAGGTGAGACTATTTTCCATGGCACGTGGATGAACATTGTTATATTTTAAAAGTGTATGTTTATTTTACTGTAATATTGGAACAGGTAACTAGCTCATATATAAGCCAACAGTTTCATGGCTTTTAAATGCAGATTTATAATTTGAGTTGATGTAAGGAAAATATTAAATAAATAAAAACATAAGTGGTTCACAGGTTTAGCAAAAATCACAGAAGGTTTGTGAAAGGTTTAAGTTGGGGAAACATTGTTCCATTAAACCAAGAAACACTTATTTTATATATAAAATATGTATTAAGTATTTCATAAATATTTATTGTATATTAAATCTATTCTTTTGGAAAAGGTCATCGACAAAGTACAGTTGAACCTTAAACAACACAGGTTTGAACTTCACCAATCCATTAACATGTGGAACTTTTTTCAAAATAGTACTGTAAATATACTTTTTCTTCCTTATGATCTTTATAATATTTTTTCTCTTCCTTTATT